TAGCTTGTTTAGAAAGCAAGTTAGTCATTAGACGTTTGGTTATAAATGTTAATATTGAATCTCTAACCTTTTTGGAAAGAATTCATGGAGATATATGTGAGCCAATACACCCACCATGTGAACCCTTTCGTTATTTTATGGTATTAATTGATCATTCTACTAGATGATCACATGTTTGCCTATTTTCCACTAGGAATGTAGCTTTTCCTAATCTACTTGCTCAAATCATAAAATTACGAGCTCAATTTTTTGATTATTTAAGCAAAACAATTCCTCTTAACATTGCGGTGAATTTAGATCACAAGCATTTTTATGATTGTTGTATGTCAATTGTTATTGTTATTGAATATTCAGTTCCACATATTCATACACAAAATGGTTTAGCAAAGTCGTTTATTAAATGTTTACAACTTATTGCTAGACTATTATTTATGAAAACAAAACTCCCAACTTCTATTTGGAGTCATGACATATTACATGTTGCTTCATTAGTTCATATTAGACCAACTGTCTATTACAAATATTTACTTTTGCAATTGACATTTGGTCATGAACCTAATATCTCTCACCTACAGATTTTTTGTTGTACTGTCTAAATCCCTATTTCACCCCCATAACGTAATAAAATAGGTCCCCCAACAAATATCTGATATTTATGTGGGTTTTGACTAACCATCTATTATTAAATATCTTGAACCTTTAACATGTGATTTATTTACTGCGTGTTTTGCAAATTGTTATTTTGATGAAATGATTTTCTCAACTTTGGGAGGGAAAAACTACATCTTAAAAAATAAGGTAAAATTTATTGGAATGAAACAACTTTATCTCACTTTAATCCCCACATCGATCAATGTAAGCAAGATGTTAAAAAAATCATTTATTTGCAGAAGGTTGCAAATCAATTACTTGATTGTTGACACAATAAATGTGATAATGTCATAAATATCAGCAGAAAATATTCCAGTAAAGATTGATGTTCCCGAAGGACAATCTGTTATAGCAAATGAATCTTAAATACGCCAAAAACATGGTCAACCAGTTGAGTTAAAAGACTCTGCATCTTAAAAAAAAAGGCACAGGAGAAAAACCAACCAAAAATTTCAGAAGTCGACCAGTTGGTTCAAAAGACTCTGTTCTTCGAAAAAGAAAAGTACAATAGAAAAACCAACCAAAATATTCAGAAGAAGTAACATTAGAAAATATTGATTAATAAAATATTAAAAATATGGTTCCTGAAAAACTACAAGTGTACGAAAATAATGAAATTTCAATAAATTACATATTATATTATAAATTATGATAACAAAATAATGTTATTATAGACAATATTTTTGCATTTAACGTGACTCTTAATGTTATGCAGAATGATAATCTTGAACCACAGTCTAGTAAAGACTGTCAACATAGAAATGATTGACCAAAATGGAAAGAAGTCATACGGGTATAATTAAATTGTTTAGAGAAACGAAAAGTATTGGACCTATAGTTGGAACACTTGAAAATGTAATCCCCATCGAATACAAATGAGTTTTTGTACCAAAGAGAAATGAAAATAATGAAATTATAAGATACAAAGTACGATTCGTACCTCAATGTTTCTTACAAAGAGCAAGAATTGATTATGAGGAAACATATTCTCTCGTAATGGATACCGTGACTTTAGATTCTTAATTAACTTGACTGTATCACAAAGGCTCGATATGTGACTTATGGATGTAATAACTGTTTAGTTGTATGATTCACTTGATAGTGACATATATATGAAAGTTCCTGAAGGACTTAAAGTGCCGAAACAAGTGATAAGTGTCTGAGAACCATGTTTTCATTTAAATTGCAAAAATCATTATATGGATTGAAATAATCCGGACGCATGTGGTATAATCGCGGAAGATTTGTTGAAAGTTGGCTATAAAAATTACGATATCTGCCTACGTGTTTTCATAAAGAAAATAAATATTGAATTTACAATTGTGACAATTTATGTTGATGCTTTAAATTTAATTTGAACTCTCGAAGAACTCAGCAAACTACTATAGATTATTTGAAAAAAGAATTTGAGATGAAAGATTTGGGAAAAATCAAATTCGGCTTTGAATTGCAGATTAAACATTTCTCAAAAGTATTATTTGTTCATCAATCTACATATACAGAAAAATTTTAAAACATTTTATATGGATAATGCACATCCAGTGGCATCATCCGTGGTTGTTCGATCGCTTGATGTGAAAAAAGATCAATTTCATCTCCTTGAAGATGGAGAAAATGTTTTTTGTCCTGAAATACCATATTTTAGTGCAATTGGAGCATTAACTTATCTTGCAAACTTCATTCGATCAGACATGGTTTTTTTTTTTTTTTTGCAAATCTCTTTGCAAAATATAACCCTACACCAATTCAAAGATATTGGAATGACGTTAAACATATTTTTCGTTACCTAAAGGGTATTATTGATTTGTAATTATTTTATTCTCAAAAGTTGGGAACTGCTTTAGTGAGATATACAAATATAGGTTATCTTCTAGACCTACATAAAATTGAATTACAAATAAGATATGTGTTTACATGTGGATGAATAACTATATCACGGAGATCTGTGAAACAGTCCTGGACAACATCCTCAAATCATTTTGAAATTATTGGAATCCATGAACCAGATAGAGAATGTGTATGATTGAGGAATCAAACTTCTCCAAAAATTTTTCATACACGAGGTTCAAAAGAATGACGACATTAATGTTCAATAAATTCGCTCAAACGACAATATTGTTGATTTATTCACAAAAGTACTGCCAACATCTATATTCAAGAAATTTGTTTACAAGATTGGAATGTCTACTCAAAGACTTTCAGTGATCAACATTATGGGAGTAAATGTACACTTTTTCCTAACAAAATTTTAATGAGGTATCATTTATCTTTAATACTCCAAAAATAACAGTACTTATTTTCCTTCATTTGATTTTTTTTTTTGTTTCATTGGATTTTTATCAAATAAGGTTTTAACGAGACATATATTTTGTATTGTATCATTCAATGAGGAGTATTGTAAATGATAAGTTTATTAGTGAATAACAATGGGTAATTGGCACAAAACGTCCCTACCTTTGCAAGTTTTTGTGCAAAACGTCCTTCCATTTCGTTTTTTGACGCAAAACGTCCCTACCTTTCACATTTTTTGCGCAAAACTCCTTTTGACCAATTGTTAACATAAAATAACTAATATACCCTCATATATAAATAAAAAAAAAAAAGAAAAGAAAAGAAAAATCAAAAATAAATTGCAATCTTACTCCTAAACTTTCTAAAATACGCAAATCAATCCAAAACTTACAAAAATATTAAAAAGAAAAAAAAATCCCTCTTGCCCCTTTCCAGCCGAATACATGAGCTCATTTTCTGGTGACTTCCGGCCGCCCAAACCGTCGGATATTGGTCCCAACATGTTTTCATCATTACCCTCTACAACTACATACTAAGAAATCCTCATAACTCATTGTAATTTGGCCGGAAATCAAATTAAAAAATTGCAGCCTGAAAATTCTTCAAACATCTACAACTCGCCGTCCGGCCACCCATCCGGCCGAAATCTACCACTGGTTGACTCCCCTTATCAAGTTGAAGCTACCTATGTAAACAATTTCCTCACAAAGACAGTCCAGTCGCGAGTTCGCACAAGCGAACATTTCAGACTTAGATTGAAGATGATTGGAGCCAAATTGAAGGGGACCCATGGTTGGGCTAGGTGCGTCTGGTGATGGCGCACCCAACCCAGGTGTTCCGCCACCATGGGTCATCACAGCGGCGCCGAATTGGAGGAAAATTGGTGCGGTGTCGCGACAATTGCGACGGGCAACTTTTAATTTGAAATTCAGATCTTATCCTTATTGTTTGGGCTAAATTGTTTACATGGTCGAGGTCGTCCTGAGTATGGGAGTTGGCCAGTGGTATGTTCCGGCTAGGAAGGTGGCTGAACGGCGTGATTCCGGCATTTGACCGCATTTCATATGGCGAAGTTTGAAACTCGATTCCGATCAAATCTGCCAGAGTTGGGTCTGGTGGTTGAGTGGATTGTGAATAGGGCAATGAGGGCTTCAAAGTGTTATGTTGGTTCGACGGCCATGGTGATCGGAGTTTGGGGATTTTGCCTTCAAAGGTGGCGGCTTATGGGTGATGATTTTTCATATTTGTGACTAATTTGCACATTTTTAAAAGTTTGAACTCATAATTGTAATTTATTCTTTATTTTTCTTTTCTTTTGTGTTTGTTTTATTTTAATAGAAGGGTAAAATAGTAAAAAAGAGACGAAAATGACGTTTTGCGCAAGAAAAATTAAAGGTAGGGACGTTCTGTGCCAAAAATGTGCAAAGGTAAGAACGTTTTGCACAAAAACGTGTAAAGGTAGGGACGTTTTGCGCCAATTACCCAATAGCCCTAGAAATTATTATCATTGTATCCATGATCCTGCCCTATAAATATAGGGTTTTAGTTCTCATTATAATACACACAAATCTATGGATTGTTATTTTGTCTTCTCTTTTTCTCTATTTTCTCAACACATTATCATAGAAATTATTATCATTGTATCCCTAATTTTTCACTATAAATATAGGAATTTGATTTTCATTATAATATCACAAATATCTCTCTCTCTATCTCTTTTCACACCAAACAGTTGTCTTATTTTTATTTTTTAAAAAGAAGTAATTTTACATTGCTTGTCAGATAAATCTTTTCCAAGAAAATTTAAGAATGGAAATTCAATACATATTGCCCTAAAAACAGAACTGAACCCTCTCCACCCACCCTACTATTTTCATCTTTCTCTTTCGTATATTTAAAATTCCAATTGCGAAGCGGCAAGAACTGGAAGTTTCTCTACTATTCTTCACCACCTTGTTCTTCTTCCTATTTTAATTGACACCTAAAATCATAGTGTCATTCACAAAGTTGTTGCGCAGAATCAAATACTGTACACAAACTACTTAATAGTAATGACTATGGAAGCTGTAGAAGCAACAACTCCAAAACTTTCTCTTGCTGACACTGACATCAACTGGGATCGGTAAATATTTGTACACGCTCATGATATAATCGATAAATGATTTATATTTTCTGTATGTTGCTTCTGTATTATGACTTTGGGTGCAGTTGCTTTTATTATTTGAAGTTTTTTTTTATGATTGGCTATGTTTCTGAACTGGGTTTACCCTTTTGGTTGCCATTGTACTGTCTGTACGTTTATTTTATTTTGCCTTGCCAATGGAAGGAGTGCTGTTTTGAATTTCTCCCCTTTAAGATAGTTGATATTAGGAAAAAGGTGTTTGCTTTGGCATGTATTTAAGTTCATTAACTATATGACAAATAAGGTCGTAACTATTGGACGAATCTAGAAATTATCATAAAAAACTAAAGTGGTTTGGCTTCGATAATCGCTATAAAAAAGCACCGTCTTTCTTGATTGGACTATCTAGTTTACCATAGGGGTAAGCGGCGTGAGAAAATTTAGAGTTGCTGCTCTGTCAGATTGCTTGCTCGCCTTATGAAATCCATTTCAAGCTAGAATTTAGTGTTACTTTTTCTTGGCCGAGGTACATGGTTGAATTCCCTTGTCATGAAGGGCACAATGTGTAGTGTGCTTTTTCTTCTTCTTCTGTAAATCTGTGACTTGAGGAGGCCAGACTTGCAGGGAGATCAGTTTCTCGTTAAGGATTTGTTTAACATTACAGTTCTTGTCATTTTCTTAATAAAATTTTACTCAATATTGTGATAACTATATAACATTTGGTGTCCTGAATCTGGTGGTCTGGTTAATTGACTCAATTGTAGGTTGGATAAGACTAGGTTCCATGTAATTGGGGCTATTTTATTCACTGTTCAGTCTGCTTTAATACATCCAACAGCAGTTGTGAAGACGAGGATGCAAGTAGCTGGTTCTGGGCTTTCTCAAATGACTGGATTATCAGTTTTCAGTCGCATTCTCAGGACTGATGGTATTCCTGGTACTTTTAGAGGCTTTGGCACGTCTGCCATTGGATCATTGCCTGGTCGAGTCCTGGCTTTGACTTCACTTGAATTGTCAAAGGATATAACCCTCAAATATACAGAAAACATGAATATGCCGGAGGCAACTCGCGTCGGCATTGCAAATGGAGTTGCAGGAATGATCTCCAATTTAGTTTCTTGCTTATACTTTGTGCCTTTGGACGTGGTGAGTATTCTAATTCTTTCATACCCTTCTAGAGAATGCATATTAATACCACAAAGCTTTTTACTTATTTTTGTGATGTGTGAGAATTTTTTGTGTCTGATCTTTTAAGATTCTCCAAAAACTATGTCTTGTAGTTTTTTGAAAAGCTGACGTTTCTTAAGAATTCATCAAGTGCAAAGATGATCTTTGAAGCACAATCGTTCTTCTTTCCAATCGCATCTCAAAAATTGCCTAATATTTGATGCACTGATGGCTCTTTAAACTTCTAGGTGTGAAAGAAGAGTGTCACCCACTATTTGGGTAAAATGGAGGAAAGAAACTGTAAAACCTTTTTAAGGAAAAAGAAACTTATTTATGAGTTATAGGTAAAAGGTAAAATATCTTGCATCATTATATAGGCATCTACATCTAAGGGATTTTAATGTTGTTTCGGTTCCGATTATTGTTCTAAATTGGTAGGTACTTTCGTCTTGATTTTACTTTAGTAGATAGAATTTTTCATATAGTCCTTCAATCAATAAATTGTTATTTCTCATCAAGAAAAGAAGTGGTTCGATGTCATGATGTGATGGTGAAAAATGCAAGTAATAGTGTACATGGTTGTTAGTGCTTAGGATTGATTATAACTGGAAATGCAGCCTCAAGTGTCCTGCAACCTGTCCTTTCACTACTATACGAGCCCTGTGCATTACAACACTCTCTGAATTACTGTCATATATTTACTTTTCGATTCATGCTTCCGAATTGCATTATCTTGTTTATCCAGATCTGCCAAAGGTTAATGGTTCAAGGACTTCCAGGGAGTACGCCTTGCAGTGGCCCATTTGATGTTGTACGCAAAGTAATAGCGACTGAGGGATTCCGTGGCATGTATAGAGGTTTTGGATTAACAGCCATTACCCAATCCCCTGCTTCTGCCCTTTGGTGGGGTGCCTATGGTGCTGCCCAACACATCATTTGGAGGTATATCTGTTATCTTGTGTTAAGAGCCATTCCTCGTGCTTTATTTGTTGTCTCTATGATATTTTAATACATCTTACTGATGCTAGCTTTCTCTATTTCATCTTGCTTATGACCTTAGGAGCGTGGGCTACAAAGATGATTCGGAAAAGAAACCGTCTCATGTAGAAATGATCACTGTTCAAGCTACAGCAGGGATGACTGCTGGTGCTTGTTCTTCAATTATTACTACTCCCATAGATACAGTAAAGACGAGATTACAGGCAATGAAATTCACAATAATGTTATCTGCTTTCTTTTCTCATACTCTAAAAGGAGAAAATTACCTCTAATGTGTACATCGTATCTGCATTGATTTAGGTTATTGATGATTATGGTGTTGGAAGACCTTCTGTAATGAAGACTGCGAAGAAACTTCTTGAAGAAGATGGATGGAGAGGCTTCTACAGAGGATTTGGACCCCGGTTTCTAAATATGTCACTCTATGGGACTACAATGATTGTTACTTATGAATTGATAAGTATGTTGATATCTTCATCGTGCATTAGTGTAAAGGCAGATGTCGGCAGTTTGTGTTTGAATTCTTGAGCATGTAGTTTGCCATTTAGATCTCTTGAATGTAAAAACCAACACATGCACTCACACGTCCTCTTGCGAAAATTATAATATTGACATGAATTCTTATATTCTCTCATTAATATATCCTCCCAGCACCTCCTGCTGCCCCAACTCTTACTTCCAAAATTTTAATCAGTATAGTTGGTATTGAGTGTTATCGGCTTTTCTTGGCGAATATTCGCTTGTACTGATAATCTGCCCTTAATTTATGCTATGTTTTTCATTAGTTTATTCTTACTACTTAGACATTGTTAATTCTTTTATTTCTTTCTCATCAGAGAGATTGTCTGTGAAGCAAGCTTGATGAGCAAGGAGGGTGTAACTCTACAATTTTGTGAATAAGAGGCAACGTGTGCAAATTGATCGTCACTATACTTCTGTGGAGTAGAGCCGTAGAGGCCAAGAGCCTACCAGATGAGATAAAAGGGGCTGCCCATAACTAGAACATAATGGGTTTGGAGAAGTATTTTTTTATTTTAAATTAATTCTCTTCCCTATTGATTAGACGAGAAGGTCTTATATCCTAGTATTCATTATGACCTTATGCTAATACGTTGCCATTGAGTTTAACACCAAAGTGCATATATACTTTAGTATTATGTGCCAAGGTGTTCCATTCTGAATTCGAGCGTAAGATCTGCTTATGTTTAGAGTCTGCTTGCTAGATAACTCCTTTCGGAAGAATTTAGTGGTGGTTAGGGATGGACGACATGGGATCATCTTTCTGTTATCAACAATACGAGCTTTCTTGTGCCTTATTGAATAACCAGCTTTCATAAGCATGTTTGGAAAGTATTTATAAATATTTTACATTTTTAATAGATAGAAATGAATGAGTTAAATGTGTACGACCTGTGAATTTTATGAAATATGTGCATAAAAATTTGTTTGAAAACACTATGCACACCACTGTAGTACTATGACCATCCGTTAAAAGCATTACGAGGACGAACATAGCTACATGTACTGCCAAAATATACAAATGAGTTTATAGAATGTTACTATGGCAACATTTCATTGGTATTTGGACAACGACGACACATTGGCAAAAAAGTTTGACATTTTCATTGACAAAATGTCATATAGCACATATTATTAGACTGTTTTAAAAACAATAAACTTTTACATCAAATCATTTTTCGCTGCCAATGCATCTGTCAACATTTTCTGACAAAATAGTTCAATTCTTTGGCCAAAAAACAAGGTTAAAACGGTCAATTAGGTACTGTCATTTCAGCAACTTCAAATCTGCGTGTAATTTACTTGTACAAGTATCATTTTTGTACAAGGACAGCATCCCCATCTAACTTCGATTTTTCCTCGACGCCTGCGTCCAGAAGGAATAACAGCATTACCATTCACATTATGCCGAATCTGGCCAACTGGTACTCAAAATAAATAACCCGCCGAATCCTGCCTGTAATTCACCAATACAAAAGAGGCAACATGAAAAAATCTGTATTAATCAACTACGCTTCCGACATTTCACTCATTTTTTCAACTTGTGGATCCCATGTATGTTAAACGGTCAAAAAAGCACCCTGATATTGAGCCACTTGCAGGGATCCGTTGATCAATTTCTCTTTCTTTAATCATAAAAAGTAGCAGAATTTGGCTAAAGCAACCACTCTTTGTTTTTCTTACTATGCACATCTCAAGAACAGCAACAGTAAATGGCCACTCCAAAACAACCCTTCTTCAACTTCAACATATTAATCTTGTTTCTATTCCTTGAAGCATTGCAAGTTCATTCTGTATGCAGAAATTTCTGCAACAATGTTCCTATAAAATACCCTTTCGGCATAGACGACGGCTGCGGCGCTCCACAGTTCCAGCACATGTTGAATTGCTCGACCGATCTTTTTTTCATCACCCCGTCAGGAAATTACAAGGTCCAGTCAATAGACTATAACAAAAAATCCATGGTCATTTTTGATCCAGCTATGTCTACTTGCTCAATATTACAACCCCATCATGACTTTGTAATGACAGATATTCAATCTGTCACAATCCCTCCTTCGCCGGATACCATATTTGTTCTCATGAATTGCTCCATTGATTCGCCTGTGCTAAACCATTACAAGTCACTTTGCTTCAACTTTTCAGGCCACTCTTGTGACGAACTCTACGGCTCGTGTACTTCTTTCAAATTGTTTCATCTTCTGTCGAACAGCACTCCTCCGTGCTGTTTTACATCGTACAATACGGTGAAGTTCATGAGCATGAATATATTGGATTGCTCGCATTACACTAGTGTGTATAATGTGGATAGTTTGAAGGGGGTTGGACCGTTAGATTGGCTTTATGGAATTAAACTGTCGTATAGTGTCCCAGACACCGGTTGTGAACGATGTGCAAAATCTGGTGGGACGTGCGGTTATGATGTCGAAACTGAAGGGATGGTCTGCATTTGCTCAGCCTCCAACAATGCTACCATACAGTGTGGTAAGAATTTTTTCTACTGTATAAAAACAATATCCAACTTATTGTTAGTTAAATTTGATCGATTACTCATAAGTGAGATATATTTTCATGTTTCAGGTCCAGGGATTGGTATGAACACAGGCACGAGTCTCAGAGAATCCTCATTGCTATTTGAGTCTTTTTTGGTTGTTGTATTCATTTTTCATATAACTTTATTGTGAGTCTTGTGGAATTTTTTATCAGAATTTTTTACCCTTCTTTATTTTAGAGTGTGTTTGAGACACATTTTTTTGAAAGAATGTATTATTGAATTGTAGATTGATGGAGAATGTGTGATTAAAAATGAAGGAAAAATTATTGATGTGATGAAAAATATTATTTTATTGAAAAATGTGTGGTTGAAAATGAGTAGAAGAATGAGAATGAAAAAGATAATGTGTACCAAACAGGGTCTTAATCCTTACACGCTGCAAAATACATACAAATTCTAAGAATAACAAGTAATCTATACAGTCGTCGAGGATGTTTGGCAAATAAGTGGCTTTCTTATAGCCTTTAGAGCCCACAAATTGTGTAGACCAAAATGCACTATTCTGACCCATAACAAGATCAAAATCCAGTGAACTTCTTAATCAGATCGTTGGAATACTACGTGAATCAACGAGTGTTCGATACCTAGATTTCTGACTTTCTTGAGTGAATCGACGAAAATTAAAAGATTTTTCTTGAATTCCATGTTCTCATAGTTCCATAGGCGCTAGCCGTGCTACTATACATCGGTGTGCTAGTAAATTAACTTTGCGTCGATGAACCTTTCGTGAAGACTTGTCTCATTCTCTTCAAAAAAGTTTTGATGTCGTTATAATACTAGATACTCACGATCCCAAGTCACGAAGGGTTCCAATTCCTTTGTATGCTCCTCAGCTAGTTCTAGCGCCTCCTGGAGGATCTAGTGCTGGGATCATGAATATCTGGTGCTAACGAGTCTTAAGAACCTTGTCGAGAAGAATTGGAAGGAGTTTGCAGTAAAGCTGTCACGGCTCGAGATGAATTCCTTGGCTCAGCTTGGGAGCACGAGGCCCTAAATAATGTTAGCTGAATTAAACTATATGGGAAGTGTTTATAAACAAATAATAATAATTAAAAAAAAAAAAAAGAAGCAGGGTTCTAAAAAGCTCGTCTAGACACTGCTTAGGCTCGAAGCTCAGACAAAACGCTTCACTTCGCATCTAAACGCCTTTTTTCTTTTCAATTCATAAACGGCTGAATTTTTTCGTTCATCTCTTTCGTGTTCTCTAGGCTTGCTTTATTAGTTTTATTTATTTGACTTTAGCCTATTATTATTATTATTATTAATTTTTTTTTTAAACTTTTCATTTGACTTTAATTTCAAATTTTAAAAAGATTTTATCAATACAAAAGTTAAAAATGACTTTATCTCAATAGTTAAATAAAATTTAAACCATGGTGTTATCCACATAATATAAATAGTAATTATAATCTTGAAACTCTTTATTTTGTTGCAAATCCAAAAACATGTATGAAGTTCCTATAAATCTATTAAGTAGGACTTGTCTAGTTGAAAATTTAAACTATGAAAATATTCTAATTTTGCATTTCGAAAACTTGAAATTGTATATTTGACTAATGGTACGAATTATTAAGTATATATAGTTTTTTTTAAAATTTTAGATATTTGATAAGTATTATTTTTATTCTTAAATGATTTAAAGTGATTAAAATAATATTAAAAATAAGAAAACGTCTTTTTACATTTAAGCTTTGTCTAGGCTCCCTTAAACTCGTAAGGCTTGAAGCTTCGCTTTCACGGCTAGCAACGTTTTATACTTTTCAGAACGCTGGAAATAGAAATAAGGGTCCATTGGATTGGTTTAAATTTCATGAAAAATGTCACATCCGAGAAATTCAATTTTTACTTTGGTTGTTTGATACGAAAGTGAAAATGAAGTTCGAATTCCAAGGTACAACCACTTTAAGCTTATTTTCTGCCAATTTCATGAAAAATGAATTCTTATGGGGTACTTGAGTTTTTCATTTCCAACTTACATGCGCATTTGCCAATCAAACGGACCTTAAGTGATGGAAAAGTGGGTAGTAGTACTTAAATCCTATAAAATGTACCGATAGAAAGTGATTTAATCTAAAGTGTTTATAAATACCTCCCAAACATAACCTTCATACAGATTAGTAGGTATAACCAGCTCATATCTATTAAACATCTCAAGTGAAAAACCAAGAAAAAAACTAGTTATAAAATCTTATATATGGATCATCATATTGCGATGATGTTAATTGCTAATGCAACATTAATTAGGTATGATGGAATTACTTGAAATTTAATGGATGATCAAAAAGGGATTTATCATTCTTAAGTAATAATAGATTATATTGTGACATTAGTAAACTTGAGTAATGATGAGGTGAATCCTTAACGTAGGTGGAGTTGTGATTTGAAAGTAGTATCAAATACAACTCGGTAATTCAATAGCTCAAAGTCTTGAAGAACATCATTGGAAATGAGATTAGCACTAATTTCACATCTTTTAACCAATTGGAATACAATTGATGAAGTAATTATATGAAAGCCTTGAATGGAAGCAAAGGTGTGGATGAAAGAATTAAAGCCGTTGGTATAAACCTTGCTTCCAAATGTGATTGCTGCTCTACGGGTCACGAGGCTGGAGAGTTTGCAGACAAAATATGGAGGAAGGTTTCTGTACTGGTGTATGTACGTTGGAGGGCAAGACAACCTTGGTGGGAAAGAATAAATTTATGGTGGACAAGAGCAAAAAGATCTTCCCAGGTAGGTTGTTTGATTGGCTTAATTCCATGTTTAGTTACTTAGAAATTATGGATGAGAAGATGTAAAGCAAGAATGGAGGGAAAGATTGACTCCGTAGAAGAGGGGTTATTATCCATTAAATTCTGGTTACAACAGGCTTCAATTAATTTGTCAAATACAAAGTTGTAAACTAGTCAAGATGAACATGTACTTCGTAAGCTAGAGATCCCTCGGACTTCAGTCAAAGCTAAGTAGATTCGAGTGGTTTCATGGACTAAGCCCGTACATAATTGAGTGAAACTTATTGTGAATGGTAGTAGTCTAAGAAATCCTGGTCAAGCTAGTGGAGGGGGAATGGTTCGGAATGATAAACGTGAAATGTTATCAAGCTTTTAGTGTTTTCTTTGGGGAAGTTACTAATAATGAAGCTAAATTGAAAGCGACCATTGAAGGTTTAAAGATATGACGTGAATTAAAAGTATATCATATTAACATTGAGTGTGATTCACTATTGGTGGTTTCTTGGATTTTATCACGTAAGTGGTGAGAAAGCAATCAAGAGGTTGATTAATTAGTTGGGATGGGAGCTAAAGGTTTGTCGCAATGGTATACCACGTGGACGGAATTGCCTAGGCTTGCTCGAGGATTACTTCGTTTGGATATGATGGGGTGGCTTATTTGGGAAAGTAAGTTGTGGTTAGCGATGGTTTGAATAAGTGTGATTTTTATGGTTCTACTTCTTTAGGTTGTTTTGATGTTTTGTCCATGTATTCCTCCGCCATAAGTGAAGGAATCAATAAAGTTTTATTAAAAAAAAAGTAATTATATTTCACAATAACTATACAATTAAGATATTGTAATACTACATGATTTATCTTTGACATGGATAGCCTAGCATGTTGCTAAATGTCAATTTCGGGCGATAATTTAATAAATTAATTAGTTGAATTAATGAATAAATTAAAATGAGTTTTAATTTATTTTATCTGGATTGAATTTGGATAATAAATTAATAATTCATATTGTTGCGATTGAAAACAAAACCTAGTGGGTCACACAAAATGTGAGATTTGAATAAATGTATAGCATTTATGTGCTTAATTAATAATGATGTTGGGTAGCATAATCATACGCTACATCATTTAGTAGATTAATTAAATTTCACCATGTGCTCCTTTTTATTAAAATATTCCAAAAGTAATGTTGGCCTAAAAAAATAGACAATATATTTGAAAGTCAACTGTATAATTTTTCTCCAATTCCTCCAGAGTTTTCCTCCTAGATTTCTTCTATTCGAATCCTCCTTTTTTCATTGTGCAATGGCCTATTTATAAGAGATTGATAAGGGCACTTTAGTCATTTTCATGTTCGAGCATTTTTCGTTGTCTTGTTGGACATCATATTAAAGTTCTCATTTTCAAAGCTCGATAATATTTGTGTATGTGACATTTGTCTAGAAACAACCTAGTTTCACGTGAAGACATGGTGCATTAACATCAACATTATGATAATGAATTATTTCGAATCAACTCGAAATGAATTAGGAAAATGATACATATATTCAAACATGACTTCCTTTTAAGAGTGTTAAGTGGGGCGAGCCTAGCTTGCCTCGCTCCACTATCGAGTCGAGCAACAAAGGCTTGAACGAATTGGCTCATGAGCTCGCTCGTTATAGAGTGAAAAGTACAATTTCGGTATAAAAAAAAAGGCAAGCCGGTTTGACTTGCTCTAGAAGGGGCGAGTTGAGTCACACTTCAATAGAGCAAGATGTCCCACCGACGAGCTGCGCCCTAGTGGTGAGCAAGTCAAACGGTTCGACTCACCCCATTTAATACCCCTACTTCACTAATATTACCTAAAGTACATAAATTTCCTTTTCTATCTTTCTAATTTGTCCTAAAGAATTCGACAACTTTTTATAGTCGAACGTATGCTACTAGCTAATTAAAAAGCACTTGACGATCCTTGATCGATCGATCGATCCTAGTTGTTGGTCTCAATTCAACCCATCTTGTAATTGTAATTATTGTGGCTAGCGTTACAAGCACGACTTTGTGCAGTGGATTTCGCTATGAGGTGACAGCAACAGGAGCTCTACAAAGTGGACAAGTTGAATGGGATTGAAGCCAGTGTCGAATACAGTCTACGTGAAACACATGCTTGCACGATGTCACTTGAAGCAATTCCTCTTTCATCACAAATTCTCCTAAGCACACACAACACCTGCAATTATAATTATAATTAATTTATATTAATCTTATTCATAACATCATTCAATTATTTCTCTTTAACTCACATGAGAGACATAGAATAAAAGAATAATAATTCGCTCCAGAGTGACATTGCTGCTCTCAAATAAGTCACACTTTCACTACAAATAAGTAACACTTAATTATTATATAGCACTTTCACTACAAATAAACGTCTGTCTTAACTATTCGTACGTTGAAAAGAGAGCGTCGACATAGTTGGTATAGCACTTTCACTACAAATAAGTCACAACTAATTAATCACGAGAGAATCCCGATATGTAATAATAGTTGAACGATCAAGTGTGACTGACTAAGAATAAGATACTATATGTTATATTCATGTCGTGCAAGTGGATGAAGTGAAACCCTGCTAAAGCTACTATCAACCATGAACCATCATTGTACAAAAGAAAATAAACTAGTGTATGACCTTTGAGTGGGTTTAGGGACATGTCCTTTTCTAGGGCACTTTTAGGTCTCACATTCTCATCAGTAATCAACCTGAATAGTCCATTTCCATACTCCAATATATTTATGGTCAATGCACTAGCACATGATTGATTTTTCCATAAATAAACAAATTTCACTTTTAACGATGATACTTTTGATAATTAAAAGTCATTTTTTAGTTGGTTTGGTCGAGAACTTACAGTGAATCCCTTGCTTTTAGATATTCATCAAACAAGATTGTGGAAAGCTGGTTTTTCAGCTCTGCTTTCAAGTCTGAATCAAATGACTGGACATGAAACAAGAAAATCATCAGTTGAAACATGGTATCTATAAGAGTAGACAAAGACAAAGGTCATACGTTCAAGTTTCGCCACTAAACGAGCTTTGTATAAAAATATGCACGATCGAAGGGGTGATTCTTACCGTTGTAACGCGAGGCGTGGCATCGTGAATAGTCCTCGGGAGAACCGGTGGAGTTGCCGAAAAGTTTGAAGCTCTTCTCTTGAGGTAGAACAAGTAGAATAACAGAAATAGAATGATGGAGAAGAGTATAGGAATTGAGAATATAAAAGCCTGGTAAAGCTTAAGTTGAATTGCTTGGGGATATTGATGAGAAGGGCTAGAAGATTGAGGACCCTCCATCAATTAATCTCAAGGATACAAACCCAAAAATTCAGTTTGATGTATACTAGAGAATTTTGTTCAACCTATGTCTTATATTTATGGACTCTTATGATATTCTGTCTGAGTGCGGGAGAGAGGATATTTTTGAGACTTAAAAGTAACATAGTTTAATGCAACTTTGCAATAAATAAAGTAATAATACGCCTGGAAAGACCTTTTCAAGATCAGGTAATATATTCTTTGTTCTTCTTTTTTGGTGGACGAGACAAGCCCACTAAATATAATGGCCCCATTAAGCATTCATCCTAATCTCCTTCAAAATCTCCTCACAATGCTGCATGACATAGACAATAATTGATTTGCCTAGTCCAGAGTGTGTAGGTCATTTGTGTCTCGTGAGAATGGTTCGTACAGAAGGCAGGAGGGAGCTTGATTGTAAGACTCACTCGTCGAGCAAGGAGGAAAGTTGGGCTTAGTGCTATAACAGTACCGAGTAGAAGGGTCATCACTCAATTAAGTCGTGGGGGAATTGAGCAATTAGGTACAACGTAAGGATGAAAGTCGATCTTAGTGATGTGATGGTACCGAGTAGATGGGGGGCAATAAGGTATATTTTAGAGTGGTGGGGTCAAATCAACTTTAGCCAGTTGACACGTTTTTGAATTATAAATATTACACTTTTTTAGTGATAACTCTATAAAGCACACATCACATAGCTAATAGTATCACCTTGAGTAAGTAGTTGTGTAAAGCTTTTAATATCTGTTGTTGCATTGTCTCATTAGGGGCTAGTATATCTCAATTTTGTTCATTGGCTTATATATATATATATATATATAGTCGAATTTGCATAGCTAATTCCACTAGTTGAAGTAAGTTGTTCTCATTATTGAAATATTGTGCTATGTAGTCCAATTTGCAGAGATTAATAGAATCATGCCCCGATGATTCATTTGAGTACATCCATCTTCAAATTCGTGTATTTGTTTTGAGCTTACACTAACCACTATGAGATATAGCTTTTTGGTACCGTTAAAAAATTTGACTAAAATCAAAGTCAACAATTAATTTTAACCACATATTTCATAAAACCCACAACTTTTGAACCACGCATTTCATCAACTTTTATCAAAATCTGCTAAACATCCGATGTTTAATCTCTACCAAACAGTGCATATTTTGCTTGGACTACGTGTCGTCCCGTCGAATTGATAATAATACATGTATATGTATATGTATATTTCTATAGATATAGGTATACACATGTGCTTACATAGTAGACCACTTTCATGGGTTTCTATATCCTTGATGTTGATGGTGGGTACTAAGGATATTGCTGGTGTAACGTGAAAGAGACAGATATCAAGCCTAGTATTTTCCTAAAGATCTCATAATCTTCGTCCACTAAACCCTAAACATGTTTATGTAATTAAAAAAAAGTGCACCCGCTTTTGTCTTTCGCCAAAATCCTAGAACTTGAAAGCATGTGAAAATGGAAGAAATCAACTTTAGAATCCACTTGTACACTTACACATCTTCTGTGTATAAACAAGCATAAAATTTACGTATGTGTTATTTGTGCACCAATAAAGAACGTTGATCCCACCAGCAATTCCAAAACCCACTTGTTATTGCTTTCTTCTTGATCAGTTGGTTATGAAGTGCAATTGGCACGTGTACAGTACAGGTTAGAACTCATCATTAATGGGCCAGTTAGTTGAGGATTCCAAGTCGAGAGATGTTACATGTACACCACGATTTTACACTTTGGTGTGTAGCCCCACTCACAAAAGGGGGGGCCGTGCCTTTTTTTTTTTTTCGGTTGTCGGCCCCCCTATTGTGAGGGGCAAATAGCCAAATTTGTCAAGTTAGGTTGGTCTTTAAGAGGGGCGAAGCTGGAGGACAAAAAATAAATAAAAATTTATTGATCCGATACATACAAATTTCTTTTTTTCAATTTTTTTTTTAGCCTTGAAAATGTCATGGGCCTGGGGGTAGCCCTGACGTGCCCCTCGATCTGCCCTTGGTGTTGAATCAATGTGGTTATCCACTCACTTTTCGCTTCGTTGACACACAAGGAACCCTAAATTTATTGTTAGGATGACTTTTGATATCAAGTTGAGGCCTTTGATTCTTCGTGACAACGCGACTTATCATTTCCTCTTTGCAATTCCTCGGGGTAATAATCATAAGAGATTTGTACAGTACATTTAAGGTTCTTGGGAGTTTTTTTCATTGGTTTTGACCCTTTTTGGTAGCCACATTTATGAGAGGTTGATAAATTGGTGCTTATTAGTTTTTTAGAGCATTGATTTTGGGTGATTTTTCAGTGATGTAATTTGGAGTGCATTTCTCAACCCACTAAATGGGTGATTTTGTTGTTATTCTTCAATTTCGAAAAAAAAAAATTTACTTTATAAATATTTTACTTATACTTGTAAAATCTACTTATAGGTATAAATATTCATAATTAAAAATTTAATTATAAGTAAATATTTCAATTTTAGTTAAACATTAACTTATACTTATATGTAAAAAATTATTTATAAGTATAATATCACTTTAAGTGTAAAAAATTTCATATAAAAAATAATAAATTGAAAACTTCTCCCCCAACCAAGGCATTCGACTACATGATGTATAAGAAAGCAACAAAATTCTTAAGTTTATCGGTATCTATTAAATTAATTTTATTCGTTACTCAATAATTATTGTAATATAAAGTTATTTAGTTATTTTAGTTCTTGTGATCTAAGTGGACCCAAAATCCACACATTTAAAAAAAAAAAAAAAAATCAATTTGGACTAAAAGTACAAACCAATTCGATTTGGATCGATTCGATTTTAAGAGTTAGAGTGGGTTAGTTTCGGTTGAAATTCACCCAAACATACTAATTTGGTTTTGGCTCCGAGTTGAAGTCGAAACTGACCCAAACCAAACCTCGCACAGACATACTTTGGGTTGACTTTTTGTTTATAACATGCCAATGCAAACATGACCACCTTATAACTCGGTGTTTGTCTAGGATTGTTCAATCCAATATACATGAAGATAGTGAGGTTGGATAATTTTTTCCCTTCTTGTAAAGAAAATCTTCGAGCTTTAAAGTATTGAATCTTGTACTATTTTGTTGATCTCAGTTTAACATTTCAATGCAAAGCCTGTGTTTAGAAGCAGCAATTAATTTCGTAAGATTGCAATTAATCTCGACCTTTTAATCGATTAATTTTATTTCTATTGAAAAGTTGCAAATGTTGCAAGCACGCAAGAATGGTGGCAATTCTCATTACTAGAAAGTGCGCCTTCAGCAACAATCAATTTCCGTCTCTAATAGCGACTAATTATCTACGGATTAGTTAAATTAACTATGGACAATAAACAATAATTATTTTTAATTATTTTGCGAACAATGATATTTTAGTATCGAGGAATTTCCTTCTGTAACCAAAGAGATGCTGTAACTTGCACATGTTAAAGAAACCATTGAATGGAGTAACTTCAAAGTTCCACCGCGCATAGAACATGCTTTAATCATTCATTGTACTATTTGATTGTGTTGGAAAATAATATTTACTTATACTTGTAAAATCTACTTATAGGTATAAATATTCATAATTAAAAATTTAATTAAAAGTAAATATTTTGATTTTAGTTAAACATTAAATTATATGTAAAAAATTATTTTTAAGTATAATATCACTTAAGAATAAAAAATTTCATATAAGAAATAATAAATTGAAAATTTCATTAAGGGCATATATGTAATTTTATTATTTAATAAAACTTTCATGTGTTGGATTGTTTTAAAATCGCTATTAAAAAAAATTGAACTCCTCATAAACGTTCAAAATTGATACTTAAAAAAAAATAATAAAAAAAAAAAAAATCCTATAATAGGTACCAAAACTCCCAAACAGATCCTTAGGATGTCACAGGTGTGCAGGTTCGAATTATATATTTTTGATTGGTCAAACCTTCCGACCAAATTGAACTATGGTTAGTTTTGGCTGAGCCTGTCTAAAACTCTAGATTTCATTTTGTGCTTTAGGATAGGCCTGGTTAAAAAAAAAAATGGAAAAATCAATCAAAACCAATCAAATTGAACCGGTTCGGGCCGATTTGACACAGGTAATTTCTTTTTTTTTTTTAAATAACAAAACCATGGTGGGTTGGGTTGGTTCAATAATGGTTTGAATTGAAACCTCAAACTGCTGGTTAATCGAACCAACCAAACTCGCTTACATGTTTATCTTTTATTTTATTTTTTTAATAAAAATAAAAATCAAAAGATAAGCTCCAATCTCATAATTATATTTCGATTCTCTCAAATCTATGATATTGTCAGTAAGTAATAGTATTGAAAATTTTCTTTCAAAAGCTCATTATGTTCCCCCCTCCCCCAACCAAGGCAGTCGACTACATGATGTATAAGAAAGCAACGAAATTCTTAAGTTTATCTATATCTATTAAATTAATTTTATTCGTTACTCAATAGTTATTGTAATATAGAGTTATTTTAGTTCATGTGATCTAAGTGGACCCAAAATCCACACATTTAAAAATAAAAATAAAAATAAAAAATCAATTTGGACTAAAAGTCAAACCGACTAATTGAACAAAACTAAACGAAACCAATTCGATTTGGATGGATTCGATTTTAAGAGTTAGAGTTGGTTAGTTTGGGTTGAAATTCACCCAAACATACTAATTTGGTTTTGGCTTTGGGTTGAAGTTGAAACTGACCCAAACCAAACCGCGCACAGACATACTTTGGGTTGACTTTTTGTTTATAACGTTCCAATGCAAACATGACCCCCTTATAACTTGGTGTTTGTCTAGGATTTTTCAATCCAATATATATGAAGATAGTGAGGTTGGATAATTTTTTCCCTTCTTGTAAAGAAAATCTTCGAGCTTTAAAGTATTGAATCTTGTACTATTTTGTTGATCTCAGTTTAACATTTCAATGCAAAGTCTGTGTTTAGAAGCAGCAATTAATTTCGTAAGATTGCAATTAATCTTGACCTTTTAATCGATTAATTATATTTCTATTGAAAAGTTGCAAATGTTGCAGGCACGTAAGAATAGTGGCAATTCTCATTACTAGAAAGCGCGCCTTCAGCAACAATCAATTTCCGTCTCCAATAGCGACTGATTATCGACGAAATAGTTAAATTAACTATGGACGATAAACAATAATTTTTTAAAATTATTTTGCGAGCAATGATATTTTAGTATCGAGGAATTTCCTTCTGTAACCAAAGAGATGCTATAACTTGCACATGTTAAAGAACCATTGAATGGAGTAACTTCAAAGTTCCACCGCGCATAGAACATGCTTTAATCATTCATTGTTCTATTTGATTGTGTTGGAAAATAATGATAATTCATAAGTTTCAATTCTAGTCAATTTTATAGTTAATTTGTATTTTAATTGATTTAATTCCATAATCAATTTGTGGTTACAATTCATCATCGCTATTGTAACATTATTTGTGTCAAATACAAAATTAACTAAGACTTTGAAACATCCCTCATCCTAGTACTATACAAGGAGGTATTATCTTCCTTATTCTTCACACTGAAAATAAAAAAAACATTTAAAAAATTGAGAATTCTTCACTCTTTCTCTCCTCTTTGTTTCAAGAATTTAATTCTTAGTAACTCAGTGAAAAATGGTTTCAATTGCTTACATATTTTGGAAAATGTCTTCGACTGCTTACTGAATTTTGAGGTAATCGAATTTTCGCCACTAAATTTATAAATGTTACTTCAACCTATTATTTGCAAAAAAATGTGTACCACAAGCGTACAACCTGCGTTAAAGTATACAATGGACAAACGAGTCCGGGTTATTGATTCCACGATGAATGATTCCTCAATAGTTAAATTTAATTTTGACAATGAAACACACAATAAATTTCAAAAATAATTTTGTTGAATTTTAAACTATTTTTCATCATTTGAAAAAATCAAATTTATTATGTGTTCTTTGTTAGAATTAAATTTAATTATTGTGTAATTGAGTAATAATTCATCGTTCGATAACCCCGTGCTCATTTGTCCACTCATTACTTGTACACAACATTGCTCTTGCAGTATAGCCACGTCATTTTTATAAGTTTAATGATCAAAATTCGACCACCTTAATGTTCAACGAACAATTGAAGACATTTTTTTAAAGTACAATGAGTATTCAAATACATTGTCTTGCGTGACAATTTCGTAACGGTGCGATGGAGCTCCAACATTCTCATCAACCATTAAAGGTTTGAAATGGTTGAGTAATGTCCATAGTTTGAATATAATTAGTAGTTAAAATTCGACATTTTAAATTTCGGTGAGCAAGTGTACACATATATAAGTTGAGTGATTATTGGACAATTAAGTGCCTGTTCGGTACAGCTTAAAATCCAATTAAAATTGAAAATATGACCGTTGTTGGGTCTCACTCGTCTAATAAAAATCAACAATAACGATTAATTTTTCAATTTTAATATCCGCCAATCAAGCCTATAATTTTTCATTTTAAAGGAAAAAAAATAATAAACCTGAGATGTTACTGTCTTCGTTGTGTATGCCGGAAGAAATTGAAAATGGAGCACTCTTTCCATCAGCTTCAGGGCTAAGATCTTGAATTGAAATACAAATTCAAAGAAATTATGACAATGGAAAATCAGAGAAAAACGTGCTTCGGGTGCCTTCAACGCCGAATTGAAGATGATTTCAATGGCAAACTAACCTTCCTTTATGGCCTATCCAATTCCCCTCTCCCTTTCGGCTCATCCGCCGTCGTTCAGGTACTCTTCAGCCATCTATACATATGATTAACATGAATTTATGTATTTGATTACTTATCATTTCTTATTTTTTATGTAGATGTCCAGTTCCAGTGGAGCGGCTTCACCACGATTCACATTGAATTATATGCCTTATTGCAAAGATGATTGCTTGGCTAAATACATGTATAATCTCTTACTATATTTTGTGCAAATTTTATTGTTCAGTTGGCTTTATTGGAAGCTAAAAGTAAATGTAGTATGATTTGTGCGGATTGAATTTGTTTTCTTTAAATTTGAAAAAAAAAATTCGGGGCGGAAAGTTGAGATTTGTTTTTGGATTTTATTATTATGTAGGTGATAAATGCTATAGACTTGGTTAGTGTCAAGATGCACTAAATGCTCATTAGGATGGCTATTAAATCCATTAGAAAAAGAAGCACGAATAGCTTTACTCTTAGGTTTTTCTTATCATATATACTTCTAGTTTTCGACTCGCATATGCTTAGAATGGACGAAACTGTTGTTAGAAATTGTATACCATAATATACAAAAATTAGATGGAAACTTGGAAATAAAACAAGTAATTTGAAAGCATGTTCGACAGATACTTGTTTAAGCAACTTTCTCGAGGATGGTAGTTTTCTATCAATCAGTGCAAAATGCTACTTGGAAAATTCTATTTTTGGATAAGATATCTGACAATGTAAGAAAATTTTTTTACACTCCCTAAATGTTTTTCGACCAAATTCTACAGTTTTGGATGTACATCTAGATGCTCAACCAAGTGCCTCAAACCTCTGTTTATAATTTGTGGCGGTATAGGTTCTCTGGAATCAGGTCAGGTGTGTGAGAAGACTAAGGTTCTACAAGAGCTTGACTAGAAGAAATTGAGAGGAAATTCCATAAAGAACTGGGCTTTCTTGAAAATAGCTGTGAATTGGCTTCCCATCTTGCATATAGTTCTCCCTTTTTGCCAAGATTTGACTGGTTATAAATGATTTAGCAGGAATAGATAGGTCAATTCCTTTCTCCTCATTTACTCATCTACTGGCACACAGTTAATATCTTTAAGTTCAACCATTTCTTCGAAGTTGTTTGAGAACCATTTTTCAAAGAGTTAAAGCTCTTTAAGTTTGTATCAGAAAGGCTCAGTTTTGAGACATATTGTAACTATGTTTTTCAACAATCAGTGTCCAGGCTTACTTCAGAGTATGAAGTCAGCTTCATATTTCTGCATTCTGAAACAATTTACAACTTCAGATGGATGAACTTTTCTCTTCTTTATTTCTTTACAAAGACTATTACTTTCTTGTTTCTTTACAAAAAATATGAGCAACGGAACTCTTTGTTGGTGCTTTCGAAAAGAAGAACTTATAAGAGTTTGAAGGAAGAGGTATGCTTTACCTATTTATGGATTTAAAATCAAATATCAAGGATTCCAACCATTCCATATGGGATACTACAAAAATTCAAACATTCCCTTCTCAACCTAAATGATGTGGAGGGAGTTCCTATACAACTCACTTTATAGGTAATACTCTATATACAGTAGAAATACATGGGATAACGAGATAAAGTTTTTCATTGCTGTAGAAGCCAAGCTAAAGATGATGTAAAATTTCCTGACGTCAAATCATAAGCAATGTCCTGAGTATTTTAAAATGAATCATATTTTGTCGAATTAGTAATTCTGACAGAATTGGATTTTGCTTTCTTCTCTTCAGTGACGAGCGTTGTCCAAAAGAAACTGGAGGTGGTATTGGCTGTACAAGAGATCAAAGGTTGCTGGAATTAAAGCAAGACCATGCAGAGGTCAGTGTTGGAATTTCCGGTGAAAAATCTACTTCATTAGATTCTGAATCTCAGTATATCTCTAATGATGGCAGAAATATATTCCTTTTTGGGCCAGGATGTGAAATTTCAACTTGTAGATTCTCCAGTTGTTTTAATTGCTCAAGGACAATTACTTCATTGACTCCAACTGCTCAGATTGGCAATGCTTCCTATGAATTATTTGAAGAGCTAGCTTCAGTTTTTGTATCTGGCTCAGTTGAAGATCACATTTTGCATTCACTTAGTCTCCTAATAGAAGGAAAGGCTGCCGGACGAGATGGCGTAAACTTTCTTAGTTTGGTTGGGTTACCATCATTTGAGGAGAACGGTTTTCCTGGATGCATAAGACACCCAAACATTATTCCTATTTTAGGAATGCTAAAGTTACGTAGTCAAATTATTTTAGCACTCCCAAAGACTCCATATACCCTGGAAAACATTTTACACTATAGCCCTGGTGCTGTAGAGTCTGACTGGCATGTGAAAATTTTAATCTACCAGATACTTTCTGCTCTGGCTTACATGCATGGATTGGGGGTTGCTCATGGTAATCTATGCCCATCCAACATATTGTTGACTGAATCTTCTTGGTGTTGGCTACAATTTGGTGAGAAACAGCTGCTAAACTCCAAGGTGAATCCAACAAGTGAAGAATACTATTATCCTTCCAATGGTGGTGTTTGTTTCGAAGGATGCTCTTCTTATGGACTTTTTGCTGATTTAAAGCTCTCTGAAACTATGGATTGGCATTCTAGTTTCGATAGCTGGTGGAAGGGAGAGTTGAGTAATTTTGAATATCTGCTCATTTTGAACAGATTAGCAGGGAGAAGGTGGGGTGACCACACATTTTATACTGTCATGCCCTGGGTTGTAGATTTTAGTGTGAAACCTGATGAAAATAGTGATGCTGGGTGGAGAGATCTAAGCAAGAGCAAGTGGCGCTTGGCAAAAGGTGATGAACAGTTAGACTTTACTTACTCAACATCTGAAATTCCACATCATGTGTCAGATGAATGCCTCTCAGAACTGGCTGTTTGCAGTTATAAAGCTAGAAGATTGCCTTTGAGTGTATTGCGAATAGCTGTTCGTTCAGTTTATGAACCAAATGAGTATCCTTCTAACATGCAAAGATTATATCAATGGACCCCTGATGAGTGCATTCCTGAATTTTATTGTGATCCACGCATATTTTATTCACTGCATTCTGGCATGCCCGATTTGGCTGTACCTTCATGGGCGGGCACTCCAGAAGAGTTCGTTAAGTTGCACAGAGATGCTCTAGAAAGCAACCGTGTTTCACGCCTAATACATCATTGGATTGATGTTACCTTTGGCTATAAAATGTCAGGTCAGGCTGCTATTGCTGCCAAGAATGTAATGTTGCCCACATCAGCTTCCACAATGCGCAGGTCAACAGGACGCCGTCAACTCTTTACTCGACCTCACCCTCCACGTAGAACTATTACCAGGGGAACTCGTGAGCAAAACAATAGTTTAGCTAAATTAAACAATCTTGTGGGTGTGCAAGCTCTGCCTATTGAAACCAATATACATGAATTGGAAGAAGCAGCATCATTTTGTGAGAATTCATGGCATTTGAGTCCTCTCCACAATGTTTATTCAAATGAGTGTTTGAAAGGTGTCTCCTCAATGGAAGATCATTTTAGGCACAGTTCTGTAAAGATTGAATCTAGAGAGCCTAATCAAAGAATTCATGGAGGGAGCTCAACTATTGATGTAAATTTTCTTCTTGAAAATGTCGAGTTGGATGATCACAATTCTATGGGATATCAAGAACTATTTCTCTGGAGGCAAACAGCTTCCTGCTCAAAGATTTCTTCCAAACACATTGCAGATGATATATTTGCTGTTGGGTGTATTTTAGCTGAACTTCAGTTGAGGAAGCCAGTTTTTGATCCAAACTCATTACATTTGTACTTGGAAAGTGGTCTCTTACCAAGATCCATGCAAGAACTCCCCCATCATACACAAATCTTTGTTGAAGCCTGCATTCAGAGGGAATGGAATAGGTAAAGTTCCCTATTCCCCTTCCCCTCTTAAAAGTTTTATGTCGACGTGTTCAAGTGTGAAGTTGCAGCGGCAGTTCATTTTTAGCTTAGTCTTTCTTTTTTCTTTCATGAACAGGAGGCCTTCTGCTCAGTGCCTTTTGGAATCTCCATACTTCCCACAATCAGTCAAGTCGTCATACTTGTTTTTGGCCCCATTTCACCTTCTGGCAAAAGATGAATCCCGCCTTCGTTATGCTGCAACTTTTGCAAAACAAGGAGCTTTCAAAGCAATGGGCACATTTGGTACGGAAATGTGTGCTCCTTATTGCTTACCACTTGTACTGACTCCCATCTCAGATACCGAAGCTGAATGGGCTTATATATTGCTTACTGAATTCCTAAAGTGTCTAAATCTAGAAGCAGTGAAAAAACTTATTGTACCATCTATTCAGAAAATTCTACAGGCTAGTTCTTAACTTCAATTTCAATCTTTTATCTTCCATTTTGTTTCCCTGCTTCTCATCATGTACAAAAGATTTTGTTTCAGGCTACAGTCTGTTCACGTTTGAAGGTTTCTCTTCTTCAAGGCTCGTTTATGCAGGAGATATGGAACCGCATAGGTAAACAAGCATATCTGGAGACAATACATCCGCTTATAATATCAAACCTATGTGTTGCTCCTCATAAGAGTTCAGCTGCTGCTGCCGCTGTCCTACTGATTGGATCAAGTGAAGAACTTGGTGTACCAATTACAGTTTATCAGGTTTAATTGTATCTCATTTTTTTATTATGTTATCGGAAAGACAAATACTTCCATATCTCGATTCTAGGAATATACTTCTCATCTTACATTTATTCCCTAACGTATTTTAATGTTCCAGACAATTTTGCCTCTGATACTCTATTTTGGGAAAGGAATATGCAACGATGGCGTTGATGTGGTGATTAGAATTGGTATGTTCTGTGTATTGAGTGAGTAACTGGTATTGTTCTAATAATGTTTTACTTCCACTTCTAACTTGATTCAATTATACTTTTCAGGTGGTCTTTTTGGAGAAAACTTCATCATGAAACATATTCTTCCGCTATTACGAAACTTCATTCTTTCTTGCATCTATAATTCACATGCGAATAAGCCTGAACCTGTGCAGAGCTGGGGTTCTTTGGCATTAATAGATTGTCTGGCAACATTAGATGGCCTTGTTCCAGTGTTGCCGAAGGACATGATTGTCAAGGAGCTGATTGAAGTATAACATTAGACATCTATTTTAGATTGTGTAGTTTCCCATTGATTGAATAACTAATATAACATTGAATTGCTAACATACTTGTGCAGGAAGGAAATTGCCTATATGTCAAGATTCTCATGAACAAGGATGCAGAAAATCGGGTGCTTCAGGTACTCATAATTTATTGAGTTCTCAACTCAATGTGATCATACTGTAGCAAAATTTAAAGATTTCTTTGAGCGATTCTTTCTTTATCATTTCTTGATTCTCCTTCTACGTCATGACAAATCATATTTTTCTTTTATGTCTGTCCTTGGATGTAAAAAGACCATCTATGCTTGCATGCAGAAATGAAATTATTTATGGAAGACGTGGCTATGAGACAAGAAATTTGGAAACTTGCAAATTGCAAGGAGTTTACCAGTCACTAGTCAGCATCCCCTCCCTCCCATGCACACACCACGAAAGGAAGAGGGATTTTGGTTATATTCCTATTTTATATGTAAATTCAGGGAAAACGACAATCATAAACTTGAGAGTAGCTTGAAATTCAGGCTTTCTCTTGTACATCCTTTCATACATATACATAGGCTTCTACTCATAGAAATGTGTTTGCTAATTCCTAGTCAGGTTCATATACGGTATTAGATTTGATAATAATGGTGATTATGTTTATGCTGCAATTAAAGGCTATTTAGAAAAAGTGAAAACCATAAAATAAGAATCGAGAGCTTAATTTGAAATAACTAGGAGACAGTTTTCGTTAATAAATTGTGATAAAAAGGTTAGTTATGAGATACAAATTGGTGAAAGACGGTATAAATTGACACGTCTTATAGGTTGACATTGTTGAGTTATGAGGTACACTTCGAATTTATTGCTTTGCAACCAGTATTATATATATGGAACTAGCGATGTCTCATTAGCAAGTTCTTGATGAGCATAGCTTATGCGAGCCCTCTAAGAGTTAGGTGACTGGCTTGTCAACCTTTCATCATCTCTCAAGTCTCAGGCAATGCATTGGGATTCCACTTTGCATTTTACAAGCAGTGTGTATAGTGTGAACTCCTGATTCATGAGATGTTTACATCTTATGTTGTATTATTATGCCCTTGTTTGGCCCCCCATTATTTCCAAAATACATTTTTCTCTCTTATTTTCAACCACACATTCTTTAATAAAATAATATTACACGCAAAGCTAAAACTTTTTCTTATTTTTTAACCACACGTTCTCCATCAAAATACTATTCCAAAATGCATTTTGAGTAAAAAATGGGGCTCAAACAGGCTCTATTTATGGAAAACAACAGTCCTAGAATATGTTTTACCCTCTATTTATGTCATTTCTTTTTCGAGGCCTAATCATATGCTTTTGATTCTCTTCTGAACGTTTTAATACAGTCAAACAACTTGCAAGAAGTTCATTAATACTGAATTACTTTATTTGCCAGGGTGCTGCTAAGAGTCTTATCAGGGTTTGTCTGCAGATTGGGCCAGATCTAACAGCATTGCATGTCCTTCCAAAACTAAAGGAATTATTTGACGAGCTTGCTTTTTCACAGGGAAAAGATAACCATTCTATTCAATTCAGAGGAAGCCTAAAGGGACCTAGAATGAAAGTGGACGAGGAAGAATGTATTGAAAGCCGCATGGACCTTGTGTGAGTCTCTATCTTGCTCAACATGATGTTCTATATGGAATTATATTAAATTTTAGGATTGACCAGGTAAAACCTACTTGGTTAGGACCTTTCTCAGGATTTTAATCACATAAGAAATTACGTGCTCATATAAATTCGGAAATGTTTGCAGGTTACTTCTGTATCCAACATTTGCTTCTCTACTTGGAATAGAGACACTTCGCCAGTGTTGTGCCACATGGTTACTTCTTGAGAAATTCCTTTTAAGGAATCACAATTGGAAGGTGTAAATGCTAATTTTCTGCTTCCAAGAATTAGCTTCTTTCATTATATGAATTCTTATATGCACAGTTGCATTTTAATTTCAGTAGCACTCTTACAATTCTTGGACTAAAATGGAGTGCCTGTCAAATTGTATGAAAATGATGAAGAGGAAAAAGTAAGAATTTAATCTAGAATTTCGGAGAAGAATTAGTCTAAATGTACCGAATGGCGGGTACCGAATGGTGTCCCCCTCTCACAATGCGTGCGGGCCCCATGTGTATTTAAAAATTCTGGCTTGTGGTCCCCACCTCCTAATGTGAGTGGGGTGTAAAAGATTCGGTATATGTAGTATAACCCTTCAGAGAATCACTATTAAAGTTTGCTTGAGAACTATAAAATGCTGGAAAAAATTGCTAGCGTGTTTTATGAATTGATGGATTTTCCTTAAGTGACAGTGAATGGAATGACCTGTAGAGTCTCGACAGTTCATCATTTGGGATCAAGATTCCAAATAAGTCTCAAATAAACAACAACAAATTATGCATGAAAACTTTATTTGCAAAGTATGTGATACCTCAAATAAAAGAAAAACATGAATCTCAAAGTTTAGATATCTCTTATTTCAAACTTGATAAGAAATAATTTAATTATTGACCCTAAAAATAATGGCGAATGCTGTAACAGTGCTACTTTTGAACTCTATTTTTCCGTTTTAACTCTATACATGTGCACATCTTCTGAACCTGTTGTGGTTCAGTGGGAGCATGCAGGGGAGCCATCTAAAAGTAGTTCGGAGAATGTAAATGGTAGAAGACCCACTTTCAACAAGGGCCTATCTACCAACAACACACCTGCTAAACTCTTGCTCAATGGGGTTGGATGGTCAACATCACAATCACAAGGAAAAAGAGGCTCTAAAAACTTCCTACAGAATAAACATTTGTCTGCACACCATCAAAATCTGTCTGTAAACCATCAAAATCTAACTGAGAGCAGTATCACAAGCTCAAATTCAGGAATTCAGGAACCTTGGTATTGGTTCCCTAGTCCAGCAGCTAGTTGGAATGAACTCGACTTCACTGGCCGTGCTGGTGGCCCAAAGGATGAACTTCCATGGAAGATAAGAGCATCTATCATACAATCTATACGTGCTCATCATGGAGCTCTGAGATCTTTTGCTGTTTGCCAAGACGAGTGTACAGTTTTCACTGCAGGAATTGGACCAGGATTTAAAGGAACCATTCAGAAGTGGGAGCTGTCAAGAGTTGACTGTGTCTCTGGCTATAATGGCCATGAAGAGGTTTGCTTCTGTTTTCCATGGTTGAATCAGATTTTCTGACTAATAATTGACCTTTTTGAATTTCAAGACTCTGATGAAGTAATTTTTTGCATAGTGAGAACAGGAATGGAGGATAACTTTATATGTTTTCTCTATCATAATCATCGTGGTTTTTCCTTTTCTTTAAACGCATATGGAGAAAACATATAAAATTGAATTGTATAATGTATAGTGTGAAGTACGATAGCACAAAATCTAATGACGCCTGAATTCCACTTAACCACTAAAAGCATCTCTCGTAGGAGGGATGGGATGAAAACTAAATGGCGGAAGAAAATTCTTATTTGAAATTTCATGTTTGTACAGAAGATGTAACATTACCTTGTATTTCCAATTTTACATTTGAAATTTAGAATTCATCGAGTGCCTTATTGTCATATTTTTCTGCATGATTTTCTGCATTTTTTATAAATTTTACTTATTATTGTGCAATTTACACACACAGCCATTTGATATTTGTATCAGATAAGTTACACTTTGTCCCCCTCAAAAGATTACATATCCTTCTCAACTTGTGAAACCTTCAATGATCCCCAAGATTGAGGGCAAAGGGGTTTTGGACAGATAAAACACTATATAATGCCAAATTATCCTTTTCTTTGAAATGATGAAATGGCTCTCCGTCTGTGAATGAAAAGAAAGAAAAATCATCCAGTCATTTAGTTCTGGTCCTTCTTGAATTTCATGGACATGTCTCATGGAAAAAGTTTTGACCTCCATTGGCCTTTAAGATAGTCTCCCAGCATAAGGACTTCATTTGTATAATAATAATAAGGTAAAGTGGGGATTGGGAGAATGATTGACGTGTTTTGAGATAGAGCAGAATAATTAGTAAATTGCCTCCTTTTTTGCCCCGAGTGGGGGGCACAAAGTATGATTTATCTTGTATATCTTTCAGGAGTGAAGATGTTTTGCACGAACTGTTAATGGTGAATGTGAGTTAAAATATTGATTGTAAACCTTTTTTCATATGAAAAACCAAACTAATCACAAACCTGTTTTTCATCATTTGCCAAGAAATTCAGATATTGCCTTAGTTATTCAGAGAATGCTTTTAGAATTAAGTTTAGGCTGTGATATGTTACATTATGAACTTGCGGATGATGATTATAGATATCTATGTCATTGCCTCTCAATTGTCAGGTTGTGAACGACATTTGTGTTTTATCATCCTCTGGAAGGGTAGCTTCTTGTGATGGAACAATACATATATGGAATGGACAAACGGGGAAACTAGTTTCTGTTTTTACTGAGAGCTCTTTAGCCTCCACAACAATGATAGATAGAGATGAAAATATGCTTCACTTTAATCCATTATCGAGTGGTATGTTGAGTACTGCATTCCATGGGAGTTCGTACACTACTATGCATCACTTGGAATTTGTTGATAGACTGGTTGTGGGCACTGGAAATGGATCTCTTAGGTAATTACTCATTTACAACTGAAGGAAAGGCAATCTTTTTTTAACTATTTCGTTTTTTAATTTCGCTATGGCACACAGGTTTATTGATGTCAACCAAGGTCAGAAACTTCATCTATGGAGGACTGAATCTATGGATTCCAATTTCCCTTCTCTGATATCATCAATTTGCTCATGTGGTTCTGCCAAATTGCACCCTGATGAAAGTGTTTCCTCCCCATCGTGGATTGCAGCTGCATCAAGTACTGGTTATTGCAGGCTCTTTGACATGAGAAGTGGAAAAATCATTTCCTATTGGCAGGCTCATGATGGATATGTGACGAAGGTACATTCAAATTATAAAGACTCGAAACATATGAAATAATGTAGATTTTTCATATAGTTATTCAATCCTTGCAGTTAGCTGCAGTAGCAGACCATCTACTTGTTTCCAGCTCCCTAGACAAAACTTTACGAGTTTGGGATTTGAGAAGGTAATCTATTCATTCTTGTCACTTCTGAGTATGCAGGCTGCATTATCTTTGATGATTTAGCAATCTTTCCTCTTGGCCTGTTACCCCTGAACACATCATGTAAATCATATCTTGGAATGAAGTTTTCAAGTTAGATGAGTTCTTTAGCAGGTCATGCCTTCATTCCGTAAGAGGCAATCTTATTATAACTACAAAAACTTTACTGATGACAATTCCGCCCTATATGATTGAGGCCTTATGGATGTCCTCTTTTTTTATAAATATTTACAGGAATTGGGCATCAGAACCCTTACTTTTCAGAGGTTATAATGACGGCATTTCTGGTTTCTCAGTTTGGGGACAAGATGTTATTTCAATATGCAGGAACAAAATTGGGCTTTCATCATTAGCTACTAGCTCTGCAGATGAGGTATCCTCTCTCAACATCTGTGTTGCGTGTTTTTGTTTGTGTCCCCCCTTTTTGTTCAAGAATGGGCAAATGGGAGCAGAACTCATACTCAGACTCCTACCCCTAATTGCTTCCTAGACCAATGTATAGAAATGTAGAAATTCAGGCTATGACTGTAAAATTTGTGAACTCATCAGTTTCTCTTTATTGTAAATTATATGTAGATGATTATTTTATAGCAGGAATCTAGCGATCATGTTTTAGACCTTGCTCTTTTCTGTCAATTGATCTGTAGTTATGTTGCCGAGACCGAACTGTCAACTCTTCTTGGAGTACAAATTGAAATGAGCCATAAGTGTTCAAAATCTGAGATTTTGAAATACTGCTACTGAATTCCAAAATGTGCATGTTTGATTTCTTGTTGGAAGATAACGTCCCTCCTAGACTAGCTTGCCGTTCTTTGTTTTCCTTATTCATTGGGGTGGGTTCTTTTTCTTTTCCTTATTTTGGCTTGCTGTTCTTGAATGTAAAAGTGAATCTATTTCATGGTGCAGGATGGGCAGTATAGTGTCACTCCTGAGCATCTCTATATGGCAGATAGGGAATCAAAAAACATGTCTATGTTATCAGCTATTAGCATACTACCTTCTTCTCGGTTGTTTCTTGTTGGTACAGAAGATGGCTATTTGAAAATTTGTTGTTAGGTTTTTCCATAATCATGTAGTGTGATTAATGATTTGGAAAAATTTTGAGGCTTTTTGTTTCATTATAATCTTAATCTAGCAGAATACTGTAAATTTCAAGTAAATTAACCGTCTTGAGCGTGTAAATTTGGATCCATTCGAAGCTTCACAGGTCTGATCAGTAGGGTTTAGCGTGCCCAACTGTGGAGATCTGAAATTGAACATAGATGCTGCTGTCTGCATAGGGATGGACCATACTGGGGTTGGCGGGATAATTCAGGAGCATAATGGATTGGCTGTGGCAGCATGGTCGAGAGCTGTTGCTGGCAGTTTTTCAACAGCGGATGCGGAGACCATTGCTTTCAGGGAAGACTCAATTCTGGCCTAAAAATGTGGGTTATGCCTTGCTGTTGCCAAGTGCGATGCCCTCCAATTAATTCAATGCTTGCAGTTGGACTTCAATCTCACACAATGCTTCTATTTTCTTTGATGTTCCTATTTTCTTTATATTGTATCTGTACTTAGAGATGTAAATTGCGGCTTATGTCACTTATATTTGTAGAAATTGGAATAGAGTGGTGCACCCTTTTGCTTCTTTTGCTAAATTAGTTTTGGTTTCAAATGACTGGATCTGTTGTATTTTTAATTTTATCTCTCATGAGGTGTGGTGCTTCTATTTTCTTTGATATTGTAGCTTTACTGTACTCCAGCAATAGAGTTACCACTTGTTGCTTCATTTGCTACATTAGTTACAGTTTCGAATGACCTGAACTCAAATTCTTATTTTTATCTCGCATCAGGGTTGTAACGAAATTTACATGCTAGTTTCCATAAAAATGAAGACGAGAATAACGAGTTCACTTGACAGGTAGAATGAAGCCTTGTGTGGGGAGACAAATTATTGTCATTTCATAGCATTGTGTATAAGGTGGCATTATGTTACCTCATGTATTCAGGGATTGCTTAAATATGTGCTTTCCACAAGTTAAAGCGCGTGTGAAACTCACCTTTAAAATCGATGTATAAGAGCGTTCAATTACTTACAAGTCCACAAGCTATACCTTCCATGAGTTATATAGGATCTAGGAGTAATTGGCACGATTCACTCTCTTTCAATATTGACTCACAGGAAGTCGGTTCCTTACCCAAATCAAAGCAAAAATAAAGGTATTTCAAAGACATTCTGTTCATTTTTGGAGCATGGATCCACATCTTACAAGAAAAACAAACCTGAATATTAAACACACCTTGAAAATCAAGAATTAACCGAATTCAAGAAGACCATTCTTACATTGCTGCCATTCAAAACCAGTAACATTACCATCTCTTTTGGAATGTTATCACATCTGGGAACTAAAATTTCTTCACTTTGTTACAAATTGCAGAACCAAAGGGTGTAGACAGAGGCACCTGCTAAGACGGAGCTCCTCCACGAAAACTGTCCTCTACACTTTTGGCTTTGTGTAACCTAGACTAATTAGCTTTTGCACCAGCATTTTCTCGGCATCTGCCTGAACATCCCCGACACAGAAAGAAGTGAAAAAATTGGGTAAACAGTCAATATAATGACAGAAGCTGATTTCTTAAAAGAGCAGTATTAAATTGCAATTTGTTACTCAGGAATTTGAGCATTATTCACATGGACGTATTGAAAATACTAGAGAGAGAGGTGAGAGAGAGAATACCTCAAGCATTGGGTTGTTCTTTGGAAGGTCACAAGCAAGAATGATATTGAGGCCAGTCTTCAGAACTGAGAAGCATATCAACAAGAGTCAGCCTAGGTACCTCAACAAGGATAAAATTATTTTTATAATAATTCAACAACAATTACCTAATCGACGTGCAACACCAGATCCTGTATTGTCAGAAGTTCCTCCAATGAGAGAAGTCACACTAACTGTATTACTCTGTTCATGATGCCAAAAAGTCGGAAAATTTATGATCGGTAGCAGAGAAACTCATAAATAACTCCAGCAGTGGGACTCTGTGCAACTATAGACCTCTTTATCTATCATCGTTTATATATGAATTCCTCAATTTCATATTATCGCTCCTCTGAATTGACAAGATTCTGTGTATGGAATTGCATAGGAGAAAAAGAACAAAGCAAACAGAAGAGAGCATTTCCAAAAATATTCGATTATGAACTTACAGGTCGTGTACGTGCAGCCGCATATAAATGTCCAAATTTAGCAGAACTGCAACCAATCCATGCATAAATCTACACAAGCAAGGGGTGTTGAATTTAAGATGCCAGAAGAGATGGTGTATTGATACTTTGGCAAGGAAAACGCATAATTAGATTAGAAAGAGGCAGTTTTCTATTAGATTCTGATATCACAAGTAGAGCTAATAATTCAGATAGGTGCTCGAATCTTAATCCCCTTCTCCATATTGTGCTTAAGACCCATGTTCGTATGCTATGAATCTAAGAGAGCGATACATTAAATTTATGTTCATAGTCAAAACTGATGTCAATTTGCAAAGATATTAAAAAATCCAACAATTTCATTTTAAGAAAAAGCTTCAAATCACAAATTCCCCAAAATAGGTTTGTGCACAATGAAGTTGTCCTAAATTAATGACAATGTGCAAAAGGATGGTAAATTACTACAGGGTTGCAATAAATCTCAATGAAAAATGTATTTCTTTCTCTTTCTTGTCTCTTAAACTAAGTTCAGCAATTCAGGAACTGAAACGATGAATTTTCATCATCATGTTTCAGAAAACAAGAACCAGTGGAGCATGGAAAAATTCTGCAAGTGACGCAAAGAGTTGACTAAGAAACTGAAGCAACTGGCCTCTCTCCATGCTAATCCGGGGAGTACACGCCTGATGGAGGAGATCATAATGCTAGAACAGGAAATTGGGGTTCGCTTAAATGTGAGTGACCGAAATAATTTAAATATTTTCATGCCAAGGCCTCAAATTGGAAACGGAAAAATGATTTATGTCGAATTAGAGACATGAATGGCATTTGGCGGAAGGGGGCGGAACCGGTTGTTCACATGCTTGAGGACTATTATGAGGACCTTTTCTGAAGCAGCAGGCCATCTAGAGAGGACTTGGAAGCCAGAACAAAACATATCACAGCCTGCCTTTCCCTCAAGACTTTTCAATTTTAGAGCAATTGTTCACAAAATTTTTTTAAAAAAAAAATTGAAATCTTATATCGAGATACTTTGTTTTGTGGGCTTTCATGATGCTTTTACCCACTAAATCAGAATTGGATAACATGGAGATCATCCAAAACCCATCATGTAACTTCTGTGGTCAGATTGAATCCCTAAACCATGCTCTTTGCAGTTGTGGCACGAGTAAAGATGTGTGGCAAAAGTCCAGGTTTTGGATGTCAGTGAAGGCTTTTGTTTGATTTGAGGCAGCAGATACAATAATGGGGCTGTTTCAGAAGTACTCCATTGATGAGTTTGCAAGCATCTGTATTATCTGTTGTGGCATCTGGAGCACGCGGAATCGCTGTTTTCACGAAGATGGCATTTGAAATGCAGCTGCCACTGTTTCTTCTGCCTTAAACTGGGCTGCCGAATACCAGAATGGAGGTGGTAAAAGGAGTTTTCCAGATGTGGAAATCGCCAGCAAATCAGCAACATAGCAGCCTCCTGTTAATGGATTGTTTGAACTTAAAGTAGTCACGGCAATTTACACTGAGAAAGGGCTGATTGGTATGGGGTGGAGGTCCAATACCATTCACGAATCATAAATGCTGCTAGTGCTATGAGTTCGACAGGCTCGTGTGATTCAGAAAATGCTGAGATCTTAGCTCTTCCTGGTCTAAAAATGGCCGAGGAATTAAATTTATAAATTGATCTTGTGGAGTGTGATACGCAGAAATTGGTCCACAGACTCCACCTAATGCAAGGTTGCAACAAAAGCTCATATCTATGAGGATGTCGGAGCTTTACTTCAACAGGTTAAATGTGGCTCTTGTCATTTTCTTCGACGATCGGGGAATAAAGTGCCCCACAATTTAGCTTCTATAGCTACCATTTTACCAAGCAATGTTTACTGGGTGGATTCTTGTCCATTATTTCCTCAATTGTATGGGATGAATTATATAAATAATAATTCCTCTTTCTTTCCAACATGGACAAAAAAAAGGAAAAGAAAACAACACCAAGTGATGCAAATTCACAAGACATTATAAAATTAAAGATCACTTCACCAATAAAAAGAAAATCTAGTTAAACATTCATTAATAAAACAATCCCAAGTTACCCAACCAGAGCTTTAAAAAACATTATAACTCTAAAGACATTCCAGTAGCACTTGCTAGGACTTGGGATTCAATCCAAAAGGTTAACCATTTACATGGAGTAACCAATCCTTTTAATCCGATTATCTATCTTATGTCTACTGGATTGTGGGAGTTTTTTCGCACTTTTCCCACGGCAGTACACGAAATCATAAAAATAATAATAAATAAATAAATCCAAGAACTTCAAAAAAAGCATAGAAAAATTCAGAAAACAAGGAACCTGTTTCTGAAGACGAATGATCTGAAAGTGGAGGGTAACCTCGTTGGAGACTTCAGAGAAGCACGTGACTTGCACACCACCATCATCTTGAGTAGTATGCTCTTTCATAGTCAACTGATTTATACTTTGTGTTGCATTTTCAACGCCATTACTGATTGCTTCTTTCTCTTTCGAATCATTAGGACCCATTTTAGGATTTTTCCGTTTCTTCACGAAAGCTTTTACGGGGCTCTTTTCAAAATAGCCGGGTATAATAGATCCGTTTGGGTTTTTGTAGAAAAGTCTATTTTACCCTTAATGATATATAATTTATATATTGCAAGTATATCTTTCCTTTATGAATAGTTTTATCAATTGATATATCATATTTCTATATTTTCAATTCTATCCATCAATTCTATCATTTGATCTACAAGATTAGCATAATCTATAATCTTTCTTTTATATTCTTTGATAANTGTCGGAGCTTTACTTCAACAGGTTAAATGTGGCTCTTGTCATTTTGTTAGACGATCGGGGAATAAAGTGCCCCACAATTTAGCTTCTATAGCTACCATATTACCTAGCAATGTCTACTGGGTGGATTCTTGTCCATTATTTCCTCAATTGTATGGGATGAATTATATCAATAATCATTCCTCTTTCTTTCCAACATGGACAAAAAAAAAAGGAAAAGAAAACAACACCAAGTGATGCAAATTCACAAGACATTATAAAATTAAAGATCACTTCACCAATAAAAAGAACATCTAGTTAAACATTCATTAATAAAACAATCCCAAGTTACCCAACCAAAGCTTTAAAAAACATTACAACTCTAAAGACATTCCAGTAGCACTTGCTAGGACTTGGGATTCAATCCAAAAGGTTAACCATTTACATGGAGTAACCAATCCTTTTAATCCGATTATCTATCTTATGTCGACTGGATTGTGGGAGTTTTTTCGCACTTTTCCCACGGCAGTACACGAAGTCATAAAAAAATAATAAATAAATAAATCCAAGAACTTCAAAAAAAGCATAGAAAAATTCAGAAAACAAGGAACCTGTTTCTGAAGACGAATGATCTGAAAGTGGAGAGTAACCTCGTTGGAGACTTCAGAGAAGCACGTGACTTGCACACCACCATCATCTTGAGTAGTATGCTCTTTCATAGTCAACTGATTTATACTTTGTGTTGCAGTTTCAACGCCATTACTGATTGCTTCTTTCTCTTTCGAATCATTAGGACCCATTTTAGGATTTTTCCGTTTCTTCACGAAAGCATTTACTGATAAATCACTCGTTCGGGCTATAAAAGAATTTGGAATTTTTTTCCTCTTTTATTTCACTTTCTTTGACTTGAAAAATTTGTGTTTTAGATAGCCAAAGGCCAAGCCCACAAATTTTGGACTTCCGATCCAAAAAGAGGAAATTACAATAAACCAGTGGTTTTAACTTTTAAATTCAAAATTCAGGTCCAATATTT